GCTGAATACAATAGCAGCTTCTAGGCATAACATCACACTTTTCTGCTTGTAATTTGAACGTACGATAAATGACGGATAATTGAGTAATGTTTTTTGCATGTCTTTCTTAAAGTTTTTATAATATTTTCATCTTAATTAAAAATAATAACATTGGAAAATATTAATTGACGAACATATTAATGATATAATGGAAATTATTCATACTTAAATATAAATCTCGTTAATATCAACAATCATATTTGATCATTTGTTATACAAAAAAATTGTCTGAAGGAACTAATTAACGATGGCACTCAAATTATATCTTTTATTCCAAACTTCTCAAGTCAATTTTTTTCATTTCTTAATTGCTAATTTATGTCATACTAAAACATTTTTATGTCAAGCTAATAAATTTGAATAATAATAAATTTACCGATGCAGAGAAAATCCATGTTTGTGGATCACGTGTACGTGGGTATGCCTTAATTGTATAAATATTACTCACCTGTAATTTATCTTTTTTATTATTTTTTACTTTCTAAAAATAAGATCACATTGCACATTATTCATAGATCTCTATTGTATATCTAATTCACGTTACTAAATAATTCTCCATTTGTTAGCTTAATTATTTGGATTTTTTTAATTCAAATTAATTTTATTTAAATTTTCATATTCATCCATTATAACAAAGATGTATGATTATTAAACGAAAGAAAAACATTGTAAGAACTGTAAAAGAATTACTATTTGATATTTATCCGCCATACTTTTTCTATCGAACAAATATGCTCGTATTAATCGACAATGCACATCGATTGCATTCAGACATACTTTATTCAAACGAATTACTTTGATCATTTTGCTAACACGCACTCTTCTCTTTCGTAGCTGTCAACAAATGACATTTTTTTTATATTTAATTTGAAAAGTGATTGAAAATAAATGAATAAATGAATATATTGGATTAATTAATTACTCGATCATCCTCGTAATTCCAGTAAATATCATGAAATGCATAATTCGATTTACTGAGACGTGGCGCCAAATAACATTCATATGTAAAATGAGCATCTAAAAAAAATTTATTAAATAACAGGAATATATTTTATCTTGTTTTTAAACAAAATTATTGTTTATTGATTACAGTAAAATATACTTTTTAGATTTATATTAGGAAAAGATTTGAATGTAATTAATCACTTGATATACATTCCAGTATTCATATTGGAATTTGAAATTATTAAACGTCTTACTATAATCATCATCTTTTTCGAGCATATTTGGTGCAGTTATAGGTTGAGTGAATGAACTCTGAAAATAATTTATGACTGATAAATAAAAAAGAAATTATCATAAATTTAATTTTGTGAAATTTTTACATTTGTTCAAAGATTCTTACATTTGTTTTTATAAGCTTAAAAAAAAGAAAAACATGCACCGATCGGGTAGTTTTTAGAATTTTCGACTCAGGCAACTCCAAATGTTGTCCCGAAATTTTGCTATTGTCGGAGCTAGATTCTTCAAGAATCTTTGTTTCGTCAACTTGTCCACTATTTGAAGTTTGTGCAGGTGCACCTGTAATATGTGAAGTCCGTGCAAGCGCACCTGTAATATATGAAGTCCGTGCAAGCGCACCTGTAATATATGAAGTCTGTGTAGGCGCACCTGTGATATTTGAAATGTGTGCTTTTGAAGCTTTTGATTTTTCAGTAATTTCTTCATTTTTGATTATTCGGGAATATCCAGCTCGCATGATAGTTTGCTGAGGCATTGGTAAAGGTTTATTAAACTCTTCTGCTACTTCTTTAGATTCATTCAATTCTTTGTAAACCTTCAAAAATGTTTTTGGAACGAATCCACGAACACCATTTGCATTTTCTGCTAGCCACCAGCCATCTTGTCTAAATGAATTTTTCGAACAAAATTAATCGTTTGTTGAAGATATTTTTTGAGAAAAAAAGCACCTCTCAAATGGTTGATAAAAGCTAATTAATAAATAATAAAAATATAAATTTTTACATACCGAGTAGCAATAATTCGTACTAAATCATTTTTCCTCAAAGTTAAATCATTTTTTTCTTGTGCTTCGAAATTAGCCACAGCAATGAATCGATTATTTTCAGTGCTTCCTGCATTTTTCAATTCTTCCCTAAATAAAGTTAAGTTATTGAATTTACAAATTTATCTATACATGGATTCCAATAGTAAATTCGAGTATTTAGATACTATGTAATAAATTAATAATCCATCAAGGGATCAGCAATATCAAGTCTTTCTTAATTTCGCTTTAGTGATCTCTTCCGGACGTAAACGTTAGTACAGCGATGACAACAACTTTAAAAATTCGTAATACCAATTAAAATTAGGCCATTTGAACAGTTTGGCTAAAGAACGATAAAGTTAGCTTAAATTAAACTATAAATATCTTCCGTAATTATTTCAAGCTGATGTCCACATATCGTGATCAGAATCGGCTATGATATTGTTGTAAAAAAATATAACCAATAATTTAATTTCATCTTGAATAATTTTTAAACTTTCTGCTATGTGCCATTTTTTCCTATTCAAATTTCTCTCATTCTAAATGATAACATTCAAAAATAAGCCTAACTTTAAATTCTTCTCTTCTATTTTGTACCGTTCCTCAACAATCGAATGATCAGAATCATAATCTGGATCTGATGATGAATCCTTCGATGAAACTTCAGTAATATTCTCCCTTTGTAAATTATTCATTTCTTCCATCGACACCTTTTCTTCTTCTCTATAAAATTTAAAATTATAACTTCTTTATTTTTAAATTTTAGCATATTTTTTAAATAATATCTTGTAAAATTACAAAATTTTACCGTATAGTTTCGATAGGAGGTATTTTGACGATATCATTTGTCATGGTGATTTTATTGGAAGTCATTAAATTTGACAATTGATCCTGTAAACAAATTTTCTCCGAAAGTAATCACCTTTTTTCTCATTTCAAATTAATCAGTTTCTTTTTTTTTTGACTATGAAAGTATATATAGTTTGGTCTACATGTTTTATTTTAGTTTAGCCAAATACTATAGATTTTTCGGGATGCAAATTTTATTTGACTATTTTAACGTTTGCTAAAATTTCTCATTCTAACATTATATAATAGATGCTAAACTAATTAGGATTAATTGCTTCTTTGTTCTTTTTTTAATACCACAAAAAATATACATTTAACATTTAACTTACAGTCATTGTTTCCAAATCTTTAAGTGTGTTTTCTTTGAAATGCTGTTCACTCGTATTTTTCACTTCTTCTATCTTCCGCTTATAATTATCCAACTGTTTCCATAAATCAGCACAATGTTGCAGAAATTGATTTTCATCAAATGAGATATCATTTTTCTGTGATTCTTTGAGTTCTTTCAACTTTTCCACCTTAATTTTAAAATTCATACATAAATTCAATAATTTCATCAACAGTAAAAGTATTTTTGCTTAAAGGATTTGACTAAAAAAAAAGGTCTTCTTGGAAAGATAGTTAAAAGAAATTTCAGCAATTTCGCGAATTATTCATAATTTTATCAGTTCTGATATGTTATTTTGTCCATCAATAGCAATATCCGAAAGAATGATTTTCTACAACGGCAATTGAGATAGATTTTCTATCTACAAATGTAAATTTAATTATTCTAAAATTTAAAAATATTTTACCTGCTTATGGAATTGTTGCAATCGTTTCTGATCATTATTAAAGGATAGGAAATGAGTGAAAATTGATGTCATATCGATGATCTCGTCGTTATGTCACTTTCTGTTATGAAATGAAATGTCAACAAACGTTACCTTGACAACCGCTGTAAATTGTTTATGTGTATTTTACTGGGCCAATTTCCACAATTAGCTAGTCTAAATTTAACCTAGGGTCGAATATTAAGGTCAAGATAGAATTAATACTGGTATTATCCAGTTATTCATTTTTCTGGCATATTGATCAAACATTTTTGGTATTAGGAAATTTTAAAATATTTTCATGCTCACCCTGTTTATGGAATTGCTGCAATCGTTTTTGTTAAGTTATATTTTGCAAAGTTTTTTATTATGGATTACTTTTATCTATAAATTAATGCTGTCTCATAAATTATACATAAAAATACGGATATATGTATACATACAGAACATTATTTCGATATAAATTTCAACCAGAAATTATTATCAAAGCATAATAAAGATTAATATCAGTAATTTAATCAATTTAGTACGAATTACACTTTGCACTGCCATTATGCAGTAAATATGTTAACGTCATCAAACATTAGATGTAAATTAAATCTAAATTTAGCAGTTTAATGGGGATTAAATTTTCTATTAATAATACTAAAAAATGGGAAAAAAATTTTATTAATAATGTAAAATTTTGAAAAAAAAAAATATCACGATAACAATCCATTTTAATATATTTACTAATCAGTTATCAGTAGAAGATATAAATTAAGAGATATTGCATTTATTATTGAATTCTTTTTCTCAGAATGTTCGATACTTTTTAAATTAGAAAAATTATTGCTTTTCAAAATTACTATGAGAACAAAGTTTAAGCCACGTGAATTTCTAGCTGTGTTGCCGGGTAACTGATTTTATGGATTAAAATGATTGATAATAATAAAATTATTGGTTTACAAACTAAAAATGAAAATGAAAGGTCAAATGTCATTCATATATTTATATATATATTTAGCAATGTTTTGTTTTGCATTTATTTTATCTGACATTTATTTTCTTTTTTTAGTTTATGAACGTTTTATTACATACATTTGCTTAAAAATTATTAATAATTGTTAGCTCATTTCGACTTTAAAATCGTTTCAGCAATAACTTTCAGCTATAATGACTTTCCACTAAGTTGAGATGGAAATTCAATTCGGTTTTTGTTAATAGTTCTATATATGAATTTGCTTTAATGTGTCGTAATATTATAAATAGCATTTATTTTTACGAAGCGATTGTGCAAAATGAAAATTTGAAAAACAAAAGATGACATATTGACTCCGTATATTTGAATCTAAGAGAGAAGACGAGAATATAAAATAGAACATGATTAACAAATGCAAATTTTTTTATTTATTAAATAATACATTTCTAGATTTGTATTTAATTAAATTTCAAAATAAGTTATTGAGCTTTTGTTTTATTTGAGTATATGATAAACATTTTTTTTTGGATGATAATTTATTGGATATGTTACTTTCCATTCATTTTAGCTTTCCATTCAATTTCTGACAGTCAACAATTAATTAATTTGTCAGTAGTTTCTTGTTGAAATTATTTTAATATCATTTTATTCTCTACTTTCATTATTTTATCACTTTTCTTCGTGTACTGTCTCCTCATCCGGTATATGACTTCCAATTAGCACTATGTAAAACCAACCACCAATTAGCGCACCAAGTGTTGGGCCTATTATTGGTACGAGGAACCAGCAACACCATGGATATCTAAATAACACGTAGATTGAATAAAAGTGTAAAATAATTTAATTTAAATTAGAATTATTGTTCATTGTATTTGGAAATGAGATTTTTAGAAACGTGCATACAATCACTTACGTAAAAACTTCTTTTCCATAAATGAAATAAGTGAATATTCGTGGTGCAAAATCTCTTGCTGGATTTAACGGATAACCACAATTCAATCCAAATCCGCACCCAATAACAAGTAATGATATACCGAATAATAATGGATGAGCTACGGAAGGAATTTTATTCCGTGGATCAATAATCAACAATACACAAAATGCAAGCAGACCTGTTCCAGCAATCTGAATTTGTCGAAATTTCCTTTTCAAACAAATAATTGACCAAAAAAGAACAAACAAACAAACAAATGGAAAACTTTGATTTTTAAATTTTCTCTTTCAATTAAATAGTGATTGATGGAAAGTGCGAGAAAAGAGCAAAAACTTCGATGAATTTTCTTCTTCCTCCCCTGTTTATCAAAAAAAAAAAAAAAAATTAAAGGAGAGGACTGATTACTGATTTCTTTCTTTCATGATCCCTCCAAGTGCATTTTATACCTGATCTAAGTATGCAGTTAAGGGAGATACAAATGCTTGCGGATATGTCGCAAAGATGACAGCTGTCCCATTTGGACCCGCTACAGCTCTGAAGCCACCATCGTAGCTGTTTATTGCATCTGCAATTTTCATCCTATTTTGTCGAGAACGACGACATCATTTTGATAAATGTTCAAAAGAATTGGAAAAGCTCGTCTGATTTACTATTGAAGAATTCGTAAAAAATAAAAACAAAAATCAATGTATATGCGAATAAGTAAGTAATTAAATAAATAGCTAATTTTATTACAGTTTCATAGCTCATTGCTCTCTATTAAAAAATTGACATAAATGATTGCTGATTAAAACAAAAAAAAATTGTTTTTTTTTTTTACCAAATAAGCATACCACGATAAATGACATAGGTTGCTGCAGCACCAAAAAATGCGCCAATATGTTGAGAAATAATATATATCAGTAAAGATATAATATCCAATGCGCCCATCGTGAAGAATAGTATTGATATTGCCGGATTTAAATGTCCACCTACCAAATTACTTTTATTATTTTATTGTAAAAATTGTTAGAAAAGAAATTGAAATTATGATATTTGCATATTCGATATTTTTTATTTTCCTATCCATATTTGTTATCTGATAATGATAATGCTTTAACAGATTTTAAAAATAGATTAAGAGTTATTTTGATTTTGTTCATACTTATCATTGCTTATCATTTCAATTATTACATTATTGTCCTTTTTTTTAAATGTTATTTCTTTCGCCATATATTTGTAAATTTTATTTCTGATCCAATTTAGAAATGGGCAAATTTGCATTTACATCTTTGGGTACAGATATTATTCTATGCTTTTCATTATATTTCAATTCCTATTAGTACATAGGTCAAGTTTTGTCAAATTTTAATCACAAATAAATATTTACCAGAAATATGTGCAACTGATGTAACGGATATCGTTATAGCGAAACCCCATCCGACATTTATTTGAACCCATGTATTAACAGCACCATTGGGCAGATGCAATTGTGCAATAATACTCGTTCCAATAAACTAAAATTTCATAATATTGCAATGATATTTAATTATTATTATATTTAAATAATTAAATTTATTGGTTTCAGTAGATTTGAGTACTTTAAATGTAATGATAGTGTAAAAAATTCGTAATACATTGCTACTGATTAATGGTAATTATAATTAGAAATTTATTAGATTAATGCAAAAGTCATTGCACATTTTACATCGTTCAAATTTTGCTGTTTATCATTATATTCTTAAATAGATATGGCGATATTATATATCATTTTTAATACTCAATTCTTGTTTTAAAGAATTAAAAAGACATTACAAAAATTATAAGCATGCTTACCAAGAGGATAAATGTACCGACAGCTTCCGCTAATGCATTTCTCAATAATTTGGATTTGATCTGAATGACATTCCGAATTGATTCAGGTGAATTGGGCAATTTAAACCATCCATCATTTCCAACTGTATTCGACGTACTCATTGTTTTGAGCCAATCTTATTATACCTGAAATATCTTTTTCATTCATTTTACACATTGAAAATATAAAAATTTCGAAAATATTATAACTAAATAACTAAAGCGATGAAAGAAAAAAAAGAAGCTTATGCGCTTAAATGCTTCACTAATTATGAAAAAAAGAATTAAGGAAGCAATTAACATATGTTTTTTTCTCGTGCATAAAAATGATAAGCTGTTTTTGGGGAATGAAATTTACATACTTTAAGCTATGAGATCAAGGACAATGGTTATAAAAGCGGAATAATGTGTTATACTAGCGAAATAATAATTGGCAATTGGAGGGACAAATATCTGCTATTAATACTAACTCTTGATAGCATAACCGAATATTGCTTCTCCATTGCACTTCTATTCCATCTACTTTAAGTTTAATTAATTCACTGAACTGAGTTATCACTAATATATTTTCTAATTTTAATTAATTTAATCCCATTTAAAATCTTAATTAAGTCAAAAAATACAAGTTCACAACATATTACTTTCATTAGCTGCAATTCTGCAATAAAATTTCACACAGTATGTTATAATATGATATTTAACGATATAAGTTAAGGAGAAAACAAACTAACGTGCCGAAATCGAATATTATTGGTCAGAGTTACAAAATGATCTACCAAATTGCAACCATTAAAAAATGCACTGAAATCATTCATCAATTATGATATTATTTATGCGGATAATAATATTTGCATATAATATGCAAATTAAACTAATCGCTAGTAAAAATTCTTGCAAGATGCAATTGTCAAATTTAATAAACAATACCATGCATGGAGAATTTCTTATTTCCTATCTTATATTAGCAAATGTTTTCATCAGTTTTAAATGCTTCATCTGTCGAAAATCCAAAATTAATCCATAATACAAAATTATCAAATTAAATTCATGAGAAATATTCCTTAGTAAAATATATAAATTTATTCTGATAGTTAAATGATATGTATATAAATACATCATTTCACCAATAAATTTCATAAGAATTATAGCTATGTTTATAAAAAAAAAACCTTTCTTGAAGAAAAACCTTCACCAACAAATGCCACATAACAACAAAACTCAAATCAAATCAAATCAAACAAGCCCATTCATGACATTATCTGACAGAATTCATTAATATTTCAATTATGCAATTTTAAATATTACAAAAACATTTGTTGTAATCTTGCTATTATTTCTTCTTTTAATATTATTTACTCTTTACTACAAAATCCATTAGTAAACAACAATCCACACAAAAAAATCACAGACAAAAAAAAAAACTTGCAAGTGAACAAAGACAGAAACATAAAATCGACAAAACGAATAATCATGATAATCCTGTTGATCAAAACTCAACAAAAAATAAAAAATAAATTAGATAATCCATCTGCATAAATAACAATCTTTAAAAAAAAGAATGACCAATTTATTTATATAGTCATAAAATATGAAGTTTGCAAACCATAACCAATAGCCAAAAACAAAAATCAATTTGAGACATACTTTATCTTCTTAGCATCCTTGTTATGCAAAGAATAAAGCCTAGAAAAAAAAACTGCAGTCAAAAAACTGACATAAAAAACAGAAGACAATATATTAGAATTCAAAATCATATAAACATAACAATCCATCAATATCACAGGAGCAGCAAACAAAAGTGCTAATATGAACCAAACAACTAACAGGAGTTAGGAGTAGCCGTAGTCTTAGGCAATCAAAACTGAAATTGATACTATCCTTACTTAATAAAAGCGGAAACGAACAAAAGCAACAAGAAAAATTGATAAGAAAAACTGTTCAAGGAAGAAAGCAAAATAAAATCATTAAAAAACGAGAAAATCACTGAAAACAATTCTTATATCATCCCTTTGAAACATCACATTATTCTAAAACAAAACCAAAAAAACCAACTAAATTCTAAAAAATAGCAAAAAGCCAAAGTAAAAATGACACTTCTACTAAAAACAATTAAATCCCCTATGCTCATAAATAAAAACAAAAAAAAAAAAGAAAAAGCTCTTCTCAAAAAAACTTCTCTCTCTAATCACAAAAAATATACAATATCGATATAAAAAAATTTACTTACATGTTTAGAACGACCCTGTTAAGGTGATTTCTGAGGTGATTTTAAAAAATAAAATAGTAAATAAAAGATTTCATAAAATTCATCTTCAACAAAATACCGAAACAAAAAGAAAGAAATCTTAAAAAATAAAGGAAAATTTCCGATAACATCCCTTAAAATACAATAAAATCCAGCATTTAACACCAACGACTAAAGCACAATGATTGTCAAACAAACTCAAGTTATCCAAAAAATTTTATAAAAAAATCAAAATAAAACTTCATTACTCATAACTTCAATATTCATTGATGACCAATCACTTTTAAAGTCAACTCAAACTGATCAACCATCCGATCCTGGTTTGCTAATGAATTAACCAAAATCCAGGCCCAACCATAACACTTAAGAAAAATTAACTTGCAAAAACAACTTAGTCATACAGCTATGCTTTCGCTTTAAATTAAACTTTAAATGAATTACCAAAAAATAAATAAATCAATAAATACCATTCCTAACCAAAAATATTACAAGAAATAATTATGAATGCAGTAACAACAAAATACATAAAAGTTATCTGGGACAGGAAAAAAATAAACAAATATAAATTCAAGACAGTAAAAAAAATGATAGTGATACGCAAAATTGAAACCACATCTCTTGTTAAAAAACTCAACCAATGAGAAAAAAGCCGTAATCAATATGGAAGCCTAATTTCAAGAATGATCATTTTCAAAAAAAAAACCAAAAAAACTATCTGAAATTAAAGTAAAAAGTCGAACACTCGACCATGAAAAATTAACGACAAAAAACAAATCCAAAGAATAAATAAAAGAAATAACAACCCGCATATTTAAAAAACAACAAACTTTAAAAAAAAAAAAATATTCGACTGAAAATTTTGATGATCGATT